ACACTGTACTTTTCGTCTTCCTTTTTTTTTTTTTTTCTTGTGTAATTGTGTTGTTTTCAGAAAGGTATGTCATTTCGCTTCTTCCCAGGCAAGGATTCCTGAATTAAATAATCTGTTAATTGCATTCTTGAAAATTCCTTTTATCATGCAGACACTTAGAGCACACCTTCAATAAAATATAACTGGTAGTAGAATTGGGACGAGATCTCCCTTCGATTGTTGAAATCACCACTCTGTTATTTTCTGTTGTATGACTTCTGATTTAAATGTGATTGAACTCAGGACCCTGCACTTGCCAGGCACATGCTTATTCTACTGAGCTGTCTTTCCAGCCCCTTGTTTCTGCCTTTTACTAGGATCTTTAGGCAGATTTCTTCAAGTGCTTCTTCCTACCCATGCAGTAGTTTAAACTTTTCTGTTAAAGCATTTAATTTCTGAAATTTCTTTCTCAGCACTGGATGAGCTGCCTTTTAAAAGCAAATCCTTTTTTGGGGTACATTTTCCTGTCTTGCCCTAGATTCTGAGGATGTTAATTATAGATATTTGATATTTTCTTCTCTGTGTTGGGTCTATTATTTTCAAGTACTTTATTCGGGTTTGTTTGCTTTTGTTTCCATCTATATATTACAGGCTTTTTCCAAGGCTGACTTTTTTGGCTGTTATTCTGTACTTAAAAGTGAGGCATGAGAAGCATTGTTTGGAAGCTTTAATGCATGGATGGGGCTTGTGACTGGGAGGTGCCTTGTTGGACCATCTGCGAGGGTAGGGCAGACGAGGAGGGGCTGGGAGAAGGGAGGAGATTCTAATGATTCACAGACAGTTGGGCTTTTTTCCCCCAGTGTTTAGTCCAGAGAGGAAATAGCTAATCTTACGCCTAGGAGCTTATGCTTGTCAGCCTGTGTTTTCTCAAATAAGTAGAACACAATAAATCCTTACCATACAAAATTGAAGATTTTCGTATAACCCTGAGGGTCAGCCCTTTTTTTTCCCCCCACTCTTCCACTTGTATGAATTTGCCTTAGAAAGACACAAGAGAAGACATTCAGTAAAAGTTTTCAAATAAGGCATAATTGTTTTGGGCTGTTTGTCCCCAGATCTTTGCAGTTTGTAATTTGCAGTAGTGAACTGCAGAAGAAGACAACAAAATCAGATAATAGAATGCATAACACTGCGTTTCGGTCACAGTGCCTCAAGCACATTACATATATGACTTTTGCTTACATCTGACTTATTCATTACTATTCACCTGACATTTCATTTTACTACACTTCAAAACTTTATCTCCTCTCATTTAATGTCCATAGATCACCCAGTCTATTGTAGTTTTATATCTTTAAGTAATAAACAATGACCGTCCTACTCAAAGTGATTTTATTTTTGTACCAGTGAATCAAACTCAGGACCTTAGGCTTGCCAGGCAGGCACTATGCCACTGAGCTGTGTCTCTTACCCTTTAAACTGAATTTTATGGTTCATTCAGTTGATACTTTTAATATGGAGAACTGTTGTCTTTTAAACTACATACTATTTTATGAATTCAAGAATGTGTTCTAATGTCTTTGATGTCAGTGGGAGCACAGAATGTTGCTGCCATAACTAGTAGCAGCAATGAACAGTCAATGTTGAAACCATCCAGATGAACTTTGGCAGTTAGCCTCTTTGGGCCTCTTAACTGCAAATGTCAGTTCTTCTGTGGTTAGTGCTGCCAGTTAAATGAAAGCAAGATTCAGGGACATGTAAAGGCTTGTTTTCACATGTGGATGTGGTAGAGTCTGCTGTAGGTCTCAGTCTGCAAATATTGCATGTTCCTAACCTAGACAGAGAACAAGTTTAGGCTTGAGAATAGAAAGTGGTATTGAAAGTAGAAAGAAAGTGCTTAAGCTTTTCTTTCTTTTTCACTAGAACAAAAGATTTTCCCACACATCTAGAAGAAAATTAATATAGACTGCTTCAGTGACCTAGAATTTTATTGTCAGTTTCATTAAACATCTAATATATGAATTGTGTAAGCTCTTCTACTTCCAAGGGTCTATTTATTACCCTTTTTCTGGTGATGTCCGAATATGCCAGTGTGATTCTGAGTTGTTTTCTGAATTTCAAACACATTGTAAAGAATTGTCCTGTGCTGTGTTTCACTCAACACTGAAGTTAATCAAATTGTCTTCCCATCAAATCTAATGTTTCATCTAAGTCCTTTCCATGTTCACCACATATGCAGTTATCCAAACTCAATATTAATTGTATGCTACTACCAAGTGTGGTCACTGGGGGCCAATAAATACTGAAATAGATGAAAGCTTGGGTTTTCAATGCTTTCTCTTCATTCCTTTTGATCTGACAGCTTAGAAATTTCTATTCACCTTCTTCCAGTCCCCCTCTCAAGTTGTCCCCTTAGCTTGCCTGCAGTGTTCATCGGTAGACTAGTCAGCCTTCCAACTTTTGTGTCTCTGGCCTCCAAGCCCTAGTTATTCCCGAACAGAGCTTCAGTCATACTATAACTTCATTCAAACATATTACTTTCCCTTTCTATTGACAAAACAAAATCCTGTGTCTCCTTAGTGACTGCACAATTACTAGACTCTTATCTTACCATTTCCCCTGATTCATGAAAATACTTTTGTGTAAATCCATATAGTGCATGTATGGATTCCATATATGATGTAATTTCATGCCTCTATTCCTATGATCATACTAGTTTCTATGCTAGAAGGTCTCTTTCTTCCATGAATTCTCTAGCTGGCACCAAACCTGCTCATCCTTCAGGTCCTAGTCTAGCACCTCCCAAGCCTCCAATGAGAGTTAATTTTTTACTCCCAAAGATCTTGTGATGCACTTTGTTCATTCTTCTGCTTTAGCTCTCAACAGTCAAAACTATACTTTAGTAGTGTGTTCATGGCCCTACCCCAGCAATGAAATGGTGCCTGGTCCACAGTACATGCTGTAGAAAGTTTTCAAAATTCAAATCAAATTGAAGCCATCTGTACATCTTTTTTGAGAATTACACATATGTTTCAGGAGTTAGAAAAAAATAACAAACTAAAATAGAAAAGTCTTTAGGCTTGAAAAGCAACTGAAAATAATTTTTTAAAATGCGACCTATGATTTGATAGGGATTCATATTTAAAAAAGGTCTTCCTCACAATGAGTCATTGAAAAGCATCACTTTTAGTAACAAACGAGTCTTCACGTCCTTCTGGACAGAACCCCCACATTGCCCTTGCGCGAGTCTTTCAGATTCTGTGGAACACGGGCGACTTGGTTGGTTTGTAAGTCCGTGATTTCCTTTCTCTATTGTACTAGTTTTTCCTATCTTCTCTTTCAAGTGTCATAGGCGTAGCTCTAAGGACGCCAGCGCTTAAGCTGAGGGAATGTGCTGCCCAAGGGTAGGTGCTCCAGCCCCCTTTGGAGAGCGTTCTTTCCCTCCAGCCTCTCCGATGAAGAGGGAGCCTGCCGTGGAAGGCCCATCTCTTCGGTGGGCTTCTTCCTTCCTTAGTGCAGGGGAACTAGAGAGAGGAAACAGGCTGCTCTACAGTGCCCTGCCATCACGTCACTTGTCATAATGGCACTTGTTACAGTGCCCACTGAGCAGGCAGCTGTATAGTGAGAGTTGGCTGTATCTGAACTTTAAGTAGACATAAAGTTATTTTTGGGGAGGGGAGCTGGGGAGATAGCTCAGTAGAATAAGTGCTTACCTGACAAGCACAATGGGCCTGAG